GCCCCGCAGATAGACGCAGAGCTCCGTGGGGAGCGGGTGTGGCTCAGTGCGCATGCTCCACAGCCACTCGTTCTGAGAGATACTGGTGAGGTGAGACGACGTGGATCCGAAGTAGTTGGAACTGTGCGTAACATCTCACTTTCTAGATTCCCAATGCTAACAGTGACCCTGTCGTAGAGATGACCGCATTCCTGGTCTCCTAAGGAAGCTTCTTTTCTCTGTACCCTGCTCACTTAATGTCACCCAAACCTCACCTACCTGTCTCCAGGCAGTCTACTTGGGAAGAAGTGGCCTCAGAATAGTGCCAAATTGCTACCTAGTGTGCCTTCGGGCTCATAGCCCTAAAGCTGTCATTGCGAGGAGTGAAAAGTTAGAGGTGAAATTCCACATTGAATCCTTCTCATGGCATATAGGATATAAATATGGGCACAAATGTGGGAATAGCGTTTCACTGGCACGACAGCTGTGACATTTGGACTCAGAACAGGGATGCAGCTGATAACTTGTTCTCTCTACATGATGAATCCAGTGCGTCAGAGGGCTTCCCCGCTACAGAACCCACCCCCACCAACAAGCATCAGGTTGTGCTGGCAACAATTTATACCATTTAAGGTAGAGGGTCTCAAAGATACAGTCATTTCTTATTTGTATTGATTTTTACATAAGTTAAAGAAAGCCCTGCCCAATTCTCCAGTGCCAGGAATCAACAGTGAGTTGAGTAGCCCAACCAGTGTGTCACCACAAGATGGGCTTTCCCTACAGCTTTAACCATGGCTTCTCCCCTGTGCAGATTGCCACTAGGGCCACTCTCTTCCATTGCCTACCTCTCCTCTGCTGCTCTTCCCTCACCCCCAGCCCTGCAGTACCACATCCCTCTCAACACTTGCTCCCAAACAATCTGCACTATGGATTTGAGCATCATTCCACCCATGGTAACTGAACTAAGATTGCCAATTTGTTTTTCATTTCTCTTCTCTCCATCATCACACTAAAATATACTATTTTCAAAGGTTCAACCTCTTTCTCTTCATTGTACTGCCTCCTTCTTCCCCCAACCCTAAGCATCCCCAACTAAATACAATAATTTTAATAAGCTTTGTGGGTGTGGTTTCAAGTGTGTTGAAGAACAGAGAAAACTAGGGAGTATCAGTTGTGTGAATTTCTAATTTACCTTATTGTCTGAGACTTAGAACTTAACTGGGGGAAAAAGTGAGTATACTATACTGAGAAAATTCTTGTTAATTGTGGGAAGTAGGATAAGAAAGGGGAATTGCATCTCTAGGAAGTCTAAGTTGTTTAAAGGCATATATATCTCTGAAGAGGACCAAAATCAGATTAAACACTTGAGTCAAAATCCTCACCTGATATGGGACCTGTACAGAATGCATATGGGATCTGACTCTAACCCTAAATATACTTAGAGTTATCAAAGAAATCTGCTGCCTACTTAATGCCAACTTCTTTTAAGGTTTGACTTAAATTTGGCATATCCTGGGGGAGGAAAAATTTTGGTTTGCTTTTATATTGTGCTAGATCTTTTTGAGTATGTACTAAAGTATATCTCACTTAGTTTCAAATGGTTACGATGATGGGGATGCTAGTATCCAATGAAAACATGTGGAGATAATGATATTGCTCTTGTATTTGGTGGGGATGAAGAAATTTATATATTTATTTTAAAAATGTAAGGGGAGGGGGAGGGAAACTGTAGCATTTCCACTGACTTTCAACAGGTGAAATTCCTGTTAAGTCCCATCTAGAAAGTGATCAAGATAAGTCCATAATTTCTGCTCTTTAATCACAAATAAATAATAGTATTTGGACATATTACAGAACTACAGATCTCTTGTACCTTAGCATCAATTTAGAGGCATTAGTTTTGGGTACCCACCTAATTAGTTGATTAATAAGCAAATACTATTGATTATCCATATGAAGGACCCTGGTGCTTGCTGCATGCTGCTGGAACTTCAAAGACATATACAAACAAGGGACTTTCCTTCCAGGAATTTAAATTTGGCTGTGTATGAAAGACATACTTAGGGAAAAAAAGGTGTTTGACAAAATAAAGCAGTATAATGATATCACTTCAACTGTAAACCATGAGATCTGAAGCTAACATGTTAATTTGTAAACCATGGAGAGAAGAGCCAGGAAGATTTCACAATGGATTAGAGCAGGGAAATGTGGGCCAAAATGAGAATGTTAGCAGAGGACTTAAAAAGGATATTCCATCAACAATAGCCAAATCATGGAAAGAGCCTAAATATCCATCAACTGATGAATGGATAAAGAAGATGTGGTTTATCTATACAATGGAATACTACATGACAATGAGAAAGAATGAAATCTGGCCATTTGTAGCAACATGGACGGAACTTGAGGGTGTTATGCTGAGCGAAATAAGTCAGGCAGGAAAGACAGATACCATATGTTTTCACTCATATGTGGATCTGGAGAAACTTAACAGGAGACCGTGGGGGAGGGGAAGGAGAAAAAAATTACAGAGAGGGAAGGAGGAAAACCATGAGAGACTCTTAAATACTGAGAACAAACTGAGGGTGGTTGGGGGTGGGGGAGAGGGGAAAGTGGGTGATAGGCATTGAGGAGGGCACTTGTTGGGATGAGCACTGGGTGTTGTATGGAAATCAATTTGACAATAAATTGTATTTTAAAAATAAATGAGAAAACGGATATTCCAAGGAAAAATCTACAGGATTTAATGACTAAAGGCAAGACATGTCTAAACTGTATTCACTACTACCTTCAGCAAACAAATGGGCATTGGAGGAAGTAGAGAAGAGTGGAGGGTTACCTTAGTAACATCACAGCACACAATAAGCACTCAAATGTTTTCTCAAGCATCAGTAGCAAGATTGGTCCAGAAGACCCTTAAGGTCCCTCCAAGTGCTGAGATTCTGTGATATATGCAGATACTCAAAATTTTGGGGGGAACAAGGCCTTCTCAGATACTGAAGAAAGAGAAAAGGAAGAATTGTTATCCTCCTACGGGCAGGCCTTTTCTGAGAAGGGTTAATTGTGACTCACAAGACCCCCAACAGTGAATGAAAGAAGGTGGAGGAGCAAAAGGAACAAAAATATCAAACCAAAAATTTCAGTAAATGCTTACAAATCTTTGCAAACTTCATAAGTTATTCATTTCCCCCATAATCCCGTGACTTAATTAGGGCAGGTATTATCAGGTCTATATTTATGTAGGAAGTTATTAAAACACAGCAAGATTAAATAACCTGCTCAAGTTCATAAAATAAATGAATGGCATAGTATTGAAGAAACCTCTTGTCTCCTGATTGCTGCCAACTCAGTGCACTTGACACTGAACTATATTGTTTTTCCTCCCTTTTCCCTGGTATAGACCCTATGTACCCGGAAGTTATATGTGCAAATGACCAAAAGGGAATGCACAAACAATTGCAGCATTATCTCAGATAGTTCTTAATACTTCATCATTATTTCTGGAGCTGAGTATTTGGTTTCCACAATACTCAGTCCTTGACTCAACATTTGAGTTTATCCACAGCTGGGAGAATAGAGTTAGAGGGTTGTATAATGATGTGAACACCTTTTTGCTAGGAAATTGAAGAAGCTCATTTGGCACAGACCCTTAATACTATCAGTATTGTTACCCAAGTTTGTACTTCCTCTGTTCCTTTCTTTAAGTGAGCAGCCTGTAAAATTATCCTATGGACCAGTATAAAAACTAAAGAAGTGTGTTAATGCTTGTTTCATCTCCATTTAAATAAATCTTTGTTACTTGAGCTAGTTCTGAAGACAGTAGTTTGAAGTCAGAAAAAAAAAAGAGGACAAAAATCAGTAATTGTAGAAAACTTGAAAAAATTTTAGAGTAAATAATAGACTGAGAAGGAGGATAAAACCTATTGATTTAGAAGGCATTATTTAAATTCATAATTACTGATTTAGGTCTCTAATGAATCCCTTATTATATGATTTATATATTTGAAAAAGTATCCTGAGATTATCAAGCAATAGAGATTTCTTAAAATCTTCTTTATTCCTCAGTAAGAAAGAACACTCAACAAATCTAAGAACTGTTTTTCTCTTTAGACCAGTACTCCTGATACTGCTTAGATAACACTCTTGCCATAATTAATTATAATATTAAATGAAGTTGTGTTTGAATTTAATAAAGCCAGCTAAATACTGAAACCTGTGTTCAAGACAGATGGTCAAAATTAATGAGTAAAATAATTATACAAGACAATATATTATAAACAGGGAACCCCATGCATAATTACTTCTTCTTTGATCTTGTGGTATCAGTTGCAGAGAGAACCTTGAAGCAGACTGGTGAATTCATTATTAACTTTCTTAGAGATGGGAACATTGGTAGATACAAAGGGAAGGAGTTTCATCTCTGACTTAGAATTTCAACACATCTTAGACTCCTCTGTGCTTTCCCTTTCCTGAAAACCATCTATTGTGAATACCATCTTCTTTCTTTGATTTACCTTTAATTTGAATGAAGAGTTCAATGGAGAGACAATATAAAAATTTAAAAATCATATTAGGTACTCTTCAGCTTTTTTAAAGTTTATTTATTTTTGAGAGAGACAGAGACAGAGAGAGAGCAGAGGGGGTGAGAGAGAATCCCAGATGAACTCCGCACTGTCAGCACAGAGCCTGACACAGGGCTTGAAGCCATGAACCCTGAGATCATGACCTGAGCTGAAATCAGGAGCTGAATGTTCAGCCGACTGAGCCACCCAGGTGCCCCTAAAGTACACTTGTTAGGGCACGTTAAAGTTTTTGCAATAATATTTTGTCCATGTTAAGTGTTTTTAGCATGTTGAACTCTTAAGTATATTTGTGAAAAGCATCCTCTGTAGGTAAGTTGAGATTATTCTGTTTTTTTCCTACTTGAGTATATTTATATATAGCCTTAAGTTTGTTCTATTATAGATTTTTAAAATTAATGCTTCCCAATATGTTTTCTAGAACATATTGAGAAGAAAGAACAAAACAAGAACAAGGAAAAGAAAAAAACTAACATTGTGACAAAGACCTGACTGGGTAAGTATGTATGTTTTTCTTTTGATCTCTTAAAAATGAATATTTACAAAAATATATAATTAATACATATGCACCAACATAATAGCAAGGACTACTGAGGCTTTTTAAAATTACATTTCAGAGGCGCCTGGGTGGCTCAGTCGGTTAAGCATCCGACTACAGCTCAGGTCATGATCTCACAGTTCCTGGGTTTGAGCCCTATGTCAGGCTCTATGCTGACAGCTGGCTCAGAGCCTGGAGTCTGTTTTCGGATTCTGTGACTCCCTCTCTCTCTGACCCTCCCCTGCTCATGCTGTCTCTCTCTCTCAAAAGTAAATAAAATATTAAAAAAATAATTTAAAAAATTGCATTTCAAATGTGTCCACTTTCAGAAGCTCTTTTGCATGTGCTCTTTTGATTAGTATTTAGTTTTCATCTCTTTGGGTCTCTTGCACAAATAACACCCAACATCATTATCATTGTGTTCCCACACTGGACCTCGTGTGAAAGCACATAACAAAATCTAGTACGGATTAGTTGTTCAGTAAACATTTGATCTTTTTATTTTAAGATGCATTCTAGATATCCCATGTACACACATGTTGTGGAGGTAACAAGAGTACTGTATAATTATTAGTGCTTTAAAGTTTACAATATATTTTCATTGGTGTTATTATGGTATTAGAACATAAATCCAAAAATTAATAATCTATTCAAAATTTTCTTCCTAAATGATTGCTGCTATAATAATACCAGTCAATAATCAAGATTATGGAAGATCCTTTACTTGTGAGGGTATTTCTATCAATGCAAGTATAATAAGGCAAATGCTGAAGAAACTTGACCTTTATCTCTCTTCCAAGTTCTAATTGTATCTCCAAACTCTACTGACAGAATTAAAATTTCAGGGGCACCTGAGTGGCTCAGTCTGACTTCAGCTCAGGTCCTGATCTATCAGTTCGTGGGTTTGAGCCCCGCATTGGGGTCTGTGCTGACAGCTAGCTCAGAGCCTGGAGCCTGTTTCAGATTCTGTGTCCCCCCTCTCTCTCTGACTCTTCCCTACTCACACTGTCTCTGTCTCAGAAATAAATTAAAAAAAAATTAAAAATTTTTAAAAAAATTAAAATTTCAGCTTGTGAAGGTTTTTCTCTTCAATAACTCTTGGGTCCATCATGAACTGACTTCAAACTCCAAATCAATTTCATACTGTTTGCCTCTTGTTTGGACCTGTCAAAACTAGAAGCTAATAATATAGTTACACATTTGAGTGATATTCCTGTTCTGTGCTCTCTCCCCTAAAATAGGGTCAGAACTGAACCAAATTATAGCACCATCTGCTCTTCCATTTACCAATGGCATCAGCCATTTTCCTGGCACAGGCAAAAGACTTCAGAAAAACAAGGCCTTTTCTCCCTTGTATGCAAAAAGAATTTTATTCCTTCTGCTGTACTATATAGTTAATGAGCATGAATCAACAGAAGTTAAATCAGTAGACCATATAATTCAGGAAAATTTACTATGAAATTGATTTCAGTTTCAGGTTTAACTGTTTTCCCTCCTACTTTTTCTTTTATTTTTAGGTTCTCTTGGTTATAAACTCCTTCCCATCTGGTGCTGCAACAATGAGTGGGAAATCCTTGCTCTTAAAGGTTATTCTCTTGGGTGATGGTGGAGTTGGGAAAAGCTCGCTTATGAACCGTTATGTAACCAATAAATTTGATTCCCAGGCTTTTCACACCATAGGGGTAGAGTTCTTAAATCGAGATCTGGAGGTAGATGGACGTTTTGTAACTCTCCAGATCTGGGACACTGCAGGGCAGGAGCGTTTCAAGAGCCTTAGGACGCCTTTCTACAGGGGAGCAGACTGCTGCCTCTTGACCTTCAGCGTGGATGACCGGCAGAGCTTTGAGAACCTTGGTAACTGGCAGAAAGAATTCATCTACTATGCTGATGTGAAAGACCCTGAGCACTTCCCCTTTGTAGTTCTGGGTAACAAGGTAGACAAAGAGGATAGGCAAGTGACTACTGAAGAGGCACAAGCCTGGTGCATGGAGAATGGGGATTACCCTTATCTAGAAACAAGTGCCAAAGATGACACTAATGTGACAGTGGCCTTTGAAGAAGCTGTCAGGCAGGTGTTGGCTGTAGAGGAACAGCTGGAACATTGCATGTTAGGTCACACCATTGACTTGAACAGTGGCTCCAAAGCAGGATCTTCATGCTGTTAAAAGTATGAAGCCTTTTAGAAGTGTGCCCCAAATTTCTCAGTCAATAGTGTCAGAATAACTGTGCCCCTCTAAGAGTGCACACACACGCAAAAAGGTAAGAGAGGAGGTTGTGGTTGTGTGTCAGAGCCTTTCAAATTGAGGTTGTAGAGTGATTAAAAAAAAAAAAAAGCTTTGTCAAGCCAAGTATATTTTGCGTGATTTCTGCTGTTTCCTTCTTGTGTGTATCAGGACATTTCAGAAAGCTTTAGTCCTGAGATATTTAAATATTTTTCAAATTACAGTTTAAACTTAGAACCCAGCAGCATGAAGGAGTTAAAGAGCTACAGCTATCCCTTAAAGTGTTCCATTAGTCAACTAACAAATGTCACCATGGACTCTTGGCAAGCAGTTTCTGACATTTCTGCCAAAGGGAAAAAAAAAAAGACTCTGAGCTGTATCACAATAAAAACTAATAATGCAAACAAGGATGTCCTAAGCTTCAACTATGAAAAGATTATGATAAATCTGGAATCTAAGAATATAATGATGTGCACTGCCTTATATGTGGTCTGTTCCCATGTGAGCTTTTCAAAAAGTATCTCAATAAGAGATACACTGATGGCACTGGGACTTGGTTATACTCTTTGTGTTTGAAGCAATAGGATACTAGTGAATGGATTATGCTTAAATATGCCAACCACCCTTGCAGATAAATGGTTGGTCTGCTTTTACTTCATAAGTCTCCTTTTGCTGCATAGGGGTGTTGCTTCTCTGACAACCTCTTATCAACTTAGCAATGCTGCTTAGTATATGGCTTTGGACGCAGTACTCTCTGCTCATAATAATTGATGGTCCTTTGGTCCACCATGCTCTGTTCTCAGAGAAACCTTCAGAAAAGAGGGGGTGGAGGTAATGGCCTTTTTTCACAAGGTTCCTTAACTCTAATACTTATTATAGAAGGAACTAATATCTTGTATGTTGCACTGTATGTTCAGCTGGCCAAACTAGGACACTGAAAGTAACAAGAAAGCCAACATTAACCCAGTGGTGGAATGAATTTCTCATAGAGTAGTCCCACAGTGGAATGGACTGCCTTAATAGTGAACTCCCTTCCAATGAAAATATTCAAGAAGTTACTAGATGACCATCTGTTAAAATACCATAAAAAATATTTTCTGTACTGACTAGATGCTTGGTTTATGGTCCCCTCCAGCTCTAAGTTGTATGAATCTGCAAGCTACAAACTGTTTCAGTGCCATGTTATCATTATATGTATCTGAAGACAACAGCTAAGACTTTGGAGAGGGATCTTTAAAATTCTCAAACTATTCTGGAATCAGCTTTTAACAGAAACTACACAGCTCTTTCTTTTGTACAATAGCAGGATAAATTCTTGATCTCTGAGTAGTCATTATGTGCCCTGAGATAAGTATCCTTAAAATACCATATTAAAAGACGAATATGGTTTGTCAGATTTTGATTACCATGACTGCTAGCTATTTAGATATGCAGTCAAGTTCATGTTGTCCTGAAGTCTAGGATGTTTGTCCTGAAAAGTTTTTAATCTGTACTTTTAAAACATATATGATAAAAAATAGTGATCCAAGGTAGTGAGGGACAGTTAGAAATAACTCCCCAAAAGACACGAAGTCTGGTAAGGAAGCAGAAGCTTTTACAGGAATACAGCCTAGAACTCTCCATTGTCACCACATATGGAATCAGCCTTACACATGGGACCTTATGTCCTTTAAGAGCTCTGGGACTTTTGGGCTATAGAGGCAAGTGGAAGACGGTATTTCAACCCAGTCATATTCAATATTTCCAATTTAAATATAGTTGTGACCCCTTTGTCCAAGTAATTTTGATGCCTGAAGTCCAAGCCAGAACTGGGACCCCACAGCCCTTAAGTAATCGTCCTTATCCTGCCTAGGCCTATAGCCAGCCACACTGGTTTCCAAGTTCTATGATTGTTTTGCTACAATCATGTTAGGGTGAAAATCTGTATATTAGAACTGTTAAATGCTAATTGTTTTTAAGTGCATGAGACCTGGGGCCTTCTCTTTCTACTTGCACTCTGCTTATAATAGTTTCTATTTGTAGATCTCAGGCTTATATAAAGACCTCCATCCACTCACAAAAGTATTTGTCACTATTAGAATGGCATGTGTAAATGTCATTTAAGTAAAAAAAAAAAATATGTGGATATCCTATTCATAGACCTCCTGTCTAACCAAGGCAAGTGCTCATGTTATTGACAGGTCATCTGAAGCCCCTTTCTTCTTAGCCATACCAATTTTCTTCTGCCAAATCACTACACAGTATCTTAATAAAAGCAGTTAACACCAAGTGACAAAAACAGTAGCATTTTTGGTGCGTAACACTCAGTGGGGTGATGACACACAGTTTGGGTAAGATTATAAAACACCAAAGGCTGAAATCTGTGAGTACCAGGAACTGTGCATATAGGCTTGAATGGGCAGTACAATATTTTCAGATTTTTTTTAATGAACACTGGATTTTTTGAATATTTCTAATTGGAACTATACTGTTTTTCAATAGTCCATTAAAACATCATACAGAAAACTTTTTAGTTTATTGTCATGCATTAGGCTAATAACATTCAGGGGGCCTCAGATTCCATATATCTTCAACTGGATTGATGAATTTCAGGTTAATTTGTGCCTGCCTCAGCCATCTCTATTTTACATTGAGGTATTCCATGATCCTCTCCTTGCAGGTGCTGCTAAAAACTCAAAATTGTGTACCAGATATTTTGTTTCAACTGTAAAAAAAAAATCATCTGTGTTAAAGTGAATAAAAAGTGCATTTTGAATAACCAGTATACAGGGTTTGTGCTTTTTTCCCCCTCTCTTTCTCTTTTTGAATAACTGGTTGGCATGACAGACAGTACTTATCAATCAAATCACTCTTTGGGACTGCACTGCATGTGGCCTCTGGATCATTTTTCCATCATTCAGCCACGTGAGGCTCGAACTCAGGGATTGCAAGATCATGACCTGAGCTGAAGTCAGACACTGAACAGATTGACCCACCCAGGAGCCCTTATTTTATGCCACTTTTTAATGCATAAAGAGAATTGAGTCTGGAAATTAGATCTTGACTCTCCACTTTATCTCTTCATTATAATTTATTTAGTCTTATGATGGTTTTATTACATGGCAAAGATGATCAGATATCACCTGTGATTACATTATTTTACATTACATAAGACCCCCTCCCCATTTTTTTTAACAAATAGTTTATTGTCAAATTAGTTTCCACATAACACCCAGTGCTCATCCCCACAAGTGCCCTCCTCCATGCCCATCCCCACTCCGCCCCACATCCATCAGTCCTCAGTTTTCGTCAGCATTCAAGAGTCTCTCATGGTTTGCCTCTCTCCCTTTCCCCCACCATTTCCCCCCTTCTTCTCCCCCTTGTTCCTCAGTTAAGTTCCTCCTAATCCTCCTATACGTGCAAAATATTTGTCCTTCTCTGCCTGACTTATTTCGCTCAGCATAACACCCTCAAGGTCCATCCATGTTGCTACACATGGCCAGATTTCATTGTTTCTCATTGCCATGTAGTATTCCATGGTATAGAT